TTTTTGTAACGTAAGCCCCCCAGGACAGGAAGTAGAGATATGTGCTTCTGTTTATACACACATGCACATGTACTGTTTTTGTGGGTCCTCCACCATGTTGTCTGAAAGCACAGTTTGCTTGAAAAAGTCCAACTGGATGGTTAAACAAGTGGAGAGAAAAACATGGAAGGCCGTCTCCACTTGCTTTTTGAACAGTCAGTTCCCGATGCTTGGCAGCATAACCTTATCGAGGGAAGTGCCGGAGTGAACTGGCAGTACTTTAGAAAGCCTGATTAAAAGAAAAGGGAGAAAGCTGAAATGGCTCTCCTCATGTCAGCTCTTTTCCTGCACAGGATGTTAAGCAATTCCTGTCCCAACCAAATACTGATTGCTGAAAACTTTGTCTAGAAGTACTTTTGAAAACCCATTTCCTTCATTCGCTTTCGACATGATGAAGTCTAAATAACACTCAGAAGCAACTGAGGAGGGTGGAGGAGGAGAGTGGATTTGAGCACTGAAGATGCAGAATGGTTCATGGGCACTTTTCACATTGCAATCCGCGTATGTGGTGGTGGAGGTAATATTGTCCACAGGGGTTGCCAGTGCAAATGTTTGTGACTTCTGTGACGGCACTGCTATCTCACTTCCAGGTCTATGTTCGTGGCATGGGAGAAATTCATAGAAATCACCTACAATCCTGTTACATACTTTCCAGCCACTTCTGTTTTACAGTAATCATGAGAATACTCCAGAAAATGCTTCCTCGTCTTTCTAAATGGCTCACATTCAAAGCCTGGAGTGCTAAGTTAACAGTGTTGTGAAGAAGCTCCTGCAGATTTGTGCTGAAGGAAGGAGCACAATGCAGCACTTTATAACCATGCTTCTTAAAAAACCGAAGTGACTACTGGATGACGAGAAATTTTTAATGAAAAAAAATCTAATTGTGACTTAACTCCACTATACATACAGAAATGGGGATCCAGCCTTACCTGAGATCCCTCATTGCTGCTGGAGTGGGAATCCATTGCTAAGATTCTATTCTTATGATCCTTTCAGCCCATCTTGGCTCTAGAACTGTATGTCATTCCAGATATTCTTAGGAGGCACTTCCAACCAACCTTCACCAGCATAGTCAGCAGTGAGTTATGTGAGGAGGTGCAGTTTGGTGACATACAGAGGCAGGATTGGCTCCCTTACTAGCCTACATGAAGCAATCAACTTTTGGTGAACTAGTAATACAGTAGGACCACCATATACATGGGACCAGTACCCATGGTTTCACTTACCCACTGCCTGAAAATATAAATAAAAAACCCAAGAAACATGTATTTCTAAGGCATATTATCAGAACTGGCCACTAGGGGGGACCAGAGGCTATGCTATCTATAGCATTATTCTACCTGCACTTTTTGACTTGAAACGACCAGGGGCTATGCTATCTATAGCGTTATTCTACCTGCACTTTTTGACTTGAAACAAATCCTTCACAGATACTGCAGTCCTACTGCATAAATCATTTTTAAAGAACAAGAAAAGTATTTCACAGAACATCTCTAGTCGCCACTCCTTCCATTGGCCTTTCAGTGCCATCCTCAGAAGGCTTCAGAGTGGGGATCCTGCTTGTATTCCTGTGGTAAGGTAAAGGTAAAGGTTCCCCTTGACATTTTTTTTTGTCCAGTCGTGTTCGCCTCTAGGGGGCGGTGCTCATCCCCGTTTCCAAGCCATCGAGCCAGCGTTTTGTCCGAAGACAATCTTCCGTGGTCACATGGCCAGTGCGACTTAGACACGGAACGCTGTTACCTTCCCACCGAGGTGGTCCCTATTTATCTACTTGCATTTGCATGCTCTCGAACAGCTAGGTTGGCAGGAGAGTGGTAGAGACTGAAAACACAAACCAAGCCCATTTGTTCTGTAATCAGAATGCCACAGTCCTGCCAACTGATTAATGGCTTCCTTCCACCTGCACACAATTGGCACAGTCTGACAAAGAGCATCCTAAGGGGATGGGAGAGGGGAAGAGAGACTGTCAGAAATTCCAAAATGAACAGACAGACAGACACACAGACAGGAAGGGCATCAGTAGAGCTTGGAAAAGTTGCTTTTTTGGGCTTCATCCTGGCTGAAAGATTCTAAGAGTTGGAGTCCAAAAAGCAATAGTTCCATGCTCTGGACAATATTAACATTCCCTGAATGTTAAAAATTGCATTCCTTGGTTGTTGAAAGTGAGAATGAGCAAAATCCTTAGCAAGCTCAGATCTACTTTTAAAGAAATCCCAAAGTTTAAAGAAACAATTGGGGGAGAGCACACAAAGAAATACAATTCCCAAGTATGGAAAAGGGACTGGTTCTGGCTTAAGGTGCAGGCAGGAAATTACCCCTCTGATGATTTATAGTTTTCACCAGCCTGGCTAGGTGGAGTTTCCTGTAATCATTTTCCAGTTCAGTGCCACTCCTCCTGCCCCATCAGTCAACAACTCCTGAAAAATTGCTATTTGACTCCTTTGGGCAGGGTTACAAAAAATCTCATAAGCTGTGGTGTAGTGTAGATGATTCTGATCTCTGCCAAAAAGGGGAAAGGGAGTGTTTAACCTAATCTCAGAATATGATTATTGCATAAAGATGAGTATCTTCACATTGATGATAATTCATTCATAAATTCTTCTCTGAAGTTTGCTCTTGCTTTGAAATCAGTTCAGTTTTTATTTAAGCAGCAGGTTTACACCAATGCCACAGGGTGGCGAGAGAAGGTCTCCTCATTTTTGCACGACTCCCAACACCATGAGGATATGTGTCGATATAGACAGCATACTATGAGCACTCCATGTGTCCGAGGAAGTGGATTTTGATCCACAAAAATCTCACTAATTGTCTTTAAGGTGATCCTGATCCTTTACCCTGATCCTTTCTTCCAACATGGTGAGTGGAAATATTTTTAGCCACCAGTTCTCTCCCTAGTCTCCCAAGCATACTAAGCTTGAGACCATCTTGCCATTTGGAACAAAGTAGGGAATGAAACACTAGCTTCACAACTCATGAACTTTTGGTCCACAACTTTATCAGCAGGGGTGCAGAGCCTGGGACCAAACTCTCACCATCATAGCCTGTCCCCTTTCATGCCATCATAAGTGTCCACCTAGGGTCTCAGGCTTTGGACTAGAGATCTTCATGAATGGGATGTTGTTGAGCTGGCAACCCTGTAATATACTGAGATATTTTAAAAGTATTGATATCAATAACATTGTACTTTATCTCTCTCATTAAATAACATTTGTATTAATTATTGGCCGGTATTGATGTCAAAAATATTTATTGCCTGTCCTTAAACCATTTCTAGTTCCTTTTTTCTAACGTATGTATCTTTGCATCTTTTGGTGGAGAATTAGTTTGCATTTGAACACCGAATTTCTTCCCTAATCTTTTGATCTGGAAAAAGGCAAAAATTCAAAGTTATAATTAGATCTAAACACATTTCTTTTTTCTTTTTTCTTTTTTTGTTAGAAAGAAAGTGGCCTGTTTGCCATGACTGACAGATAAAACAGTGTGAAAGCCAAAGAAAATATTAACCTTTCAATTGTGCTTTGTTACAAAACAATATGAATGTATTTGCTCTAGGAAAAATCACAGACCATTTGAGCGAGCATGTGGTACGAAGGAGGATTGGTCTGGTTGTCTCTGCGTGTTTCGTTCCCTTCCTCTGACAGCTGACCACATTTGAATAGTTTCATCCCTTGTCTCAAAAGGATGTGGAAAGAACAAAGACAAAATACTGAAATAGGGACTGGTTACATATGCATGTGAAAATACTCCCAACATACCTCTTGCATTGATTCAACACCAATATACATGTCACACCATGCATAGTGTCATTTATCAGTTTGTTTCTTAGTTGATTGGATCTGTGCTGGATCAAACCAAAGGTTGACCTAATCTGTTCACCCAAAGGCATTCTGTTCACCCAAAGGCCAATCTGATGCTCATGGAAAACCCACAAACAGGATGTGAGTACAATAGCATCCTTTTGCTCATGCTCCCAGCCAAGGCCAGCTCAAGCCATTTTGCTGCCTGAAACAGAGCAGAAAATGGCCTCCGCCGTTTACCTAAGTCAAGGCACATGATACCTATTTTTACAGGAGGCATGAAATCACACAAAGCCTTTCTCCATCTCTGCAATAAAAATATGCAACACCAACACAATGAAAAGCTAATCATTTGCTATCCTTTCATGACATGGCTACTTGAAGTGACGGCCTCATTTTCCATAACGGCAGGATTGTTTCTGACCTTGGCCACTGATATATGGGGAATACTAGAGGTAAATCAGAGCCACTGTGGCTAGTAGCCATTGATAACTTTATGCTTGATAAATCTATCCTGTCCATAGATCAGTAAGACTGTTCAGACTGAGAGCTGGCATGATCTTTTATGGTAGCAAATTCCACAGTTTCTTCTTTGTTCCAGAGATTTGTAACTCACTTTTCATTATAAAGTGAACAGAACTGCAATGAATATTATAAATCATTCCAAGTAACTTACGTGAGAGTTAAAAGTATTTCTATTTCCCCTCAAGCAAAGGAGCAACAGAGAGCTTTGTTTAATAAAAGGAATCAGAATGTATTGGAAGATTCGCCTGGACATGCACACACCCATACAGGAAGAGAAACAGAATGTTGCCACGATATAACAATGCACATTATTTCTAGTCTAATATTTGCTTATTAGCTCAAAACCCAGGTAACAACAGGATGCTTTTGAAAGAGAGAAGCTCATGAAAAAGGGAATTGAACTGAATATCACCAACAAGAGATTGGAGAAGCTCATGAAAAAGGGAATTGAACTGAATATCACCAACAAGAGATTCTGTAGTGTGCCAATGGAAGCCAGAGACCTATAATATCTCTGCGGTAGCAATTCACTGCTTGGAAGCAAATTGAGAAAGAACCACCATTTATATGTGCTGGAATCCCCTCTCTTGATAATTAGAGATAAATGACAAAATGTGCATTATTTGTCTCACACTACAGGCGTGGATCAAATGTCTCACTCACCTTAGACATGAGCAGCTTAGGAAGTGTGGAACCTTTCGTAGCTGTGCCAACACCAAGAGAAAAAGTAGCAATGGAATATCTCCAGTCAGCCAGCCGGATTCTCACAAAGCAGCAGTTAAAAGACACTGTTACAAGTTCCCATTTGCTACAGACAGAATTCATGGTGAGTCTATAGCTCTTTAGTTCAAAACCAAACAAACGTTAGAATGTACAGTTGAGTTGCTCTACTCCTTCAACCTGAGGTTTCATCATAATATGTACTTGCTATCAGGTCAATTCCAACTTACAACAACCCTTTCCAAGCTTTTTTAGGGCACAGAGGAATGGTTTACCAATCCCTTATTCTGGCTGTATCTTGTAACCGTGCACCTTGCCCAAGTGGCTGGCTCTTCTCCTGGGAGGTACAATGGGAAATCAGACTCCTAACATCTGGCTCTATAGCCTGATACCAACTCACTGAGCTATCCGGCCAGATTTGAGACTTCATATTACCCACTTAGGAGGCATAAGTATACAAACTTGACTCATGGGTGTTTCGGTGTTCAGGGAAATATCCAGATGTACAATCCTCAACCAGCATGCCGATCTGAACACAGTCTCAATTAGCACATTTTAAACCTTTTTCTTCATATATGAATGGGGTTTTTTTTTACAAAAAAATGTTTTTCTGCCAGTATTGCATAGCAGCATAAAAGTGTCTGCAAGAGATAAAAACACAGTTAAGTCTACTGGCTGCCATAAAGTTGGCTTTCTACAGACCTGGCCATACAGGGATGTTCTTTATCAGAGAGTGGAGTGCTGGTTTGATTCTTTGGGGTCTACAGAGTGGGTGGCATATAGTCTGGTGTGTGGCTTAGGTGCACACGTCTGTGAACGCACAAGTAAATAGGCCTAGGCTGATTTCCCCCCTTCCTCTGGACCAGTGTCTGAATTATGTGGTTCTTTGGCCTGGGGGGGATAGCCAGGTTTACTCCTGATTCAGTCTACCATAACATCTCTGACTATCTGTTAGCCTTGCTAACCTCTGACCCATCCACCACAGCCCCAATGGATGCAATTTGTCTGCTACATTCTGTTGACGCTTCATTATGTATATTTATGCAAGGGGTTCTTGGCCCATTATAAATGCTAATGTTACTTGGTTGTACTATGCTGTTCTTTCCTCTGTAGGAAATCCCCATGAATTTTGTGGATCCAAAAGAACTTGACATACCAAGTCATGGGACTAAAAATCGCTATAAGACCATTCTTCCAAGTAAGTCTGTTTCAACTGAGATATTTATCAGTCTGGCATTTTATCCAGCAGGGCAGTCCTGCCATTTCCTATTATTGGTCCACTGCTTAGGTCAGCTTTTCCATTCCCAGCACTGGGTGTGCCTCTTGAACTAGGGCACCTTTCATGACTGACAAGGGATGTGTGAAATGATAGCTCTCTTTTTTCCTTGGAAAGGACCATAGGCTGATAACTCTACCCTGTCCTCTCCACCACTTAGAATTTTGCTAGTGCCTTGTATTAAAACAGCTGACAACTTTTAGGAATTCTGATTTTTTTTTAGTCTTAATTGATCAGAAATAATGCAAGATAATCCTTAGTACTTCAGTGACAAAATTGTCACGATTTGATGGTCTAGCATCCTTTCAATGTGGGGAACACTTATCTTTCTCAAAGGTATTCATAACTTACTCAGTGTTGTGAGTAAGACATCTTTCTTCAGAATTCAAAACTAATTCAGAATTCAAAACTAATTTGTCAACTAGCATTATGCCATTTTGATGACCACATTAAATTTTATGAAAACTGATGCAGAAGTACAGTTCATGGTCTGTTACTGACTCACCCTACGATTTGAGGGAGGAGATTCCCGTGGTCCTGAGTCATCCATGCTTTCAGTACATGAAACCAATGATTAGAATTAGAGATTGGCACAGACATTGGTTCGGAGGTTCATACCGGTTTGTACACATGGTCAGCACCACAGGTGCTGCATGTTTCCTTCCCTACCTTCCCCACTCACCGGCCGGCACACATTCCTTTCCTCTTCTTCTTCCTCTGTTTGACCAGTCCTCAACAGGAGCATGGGCTTCCCTGCCCCACCTCCTTGGTTGATTGCCCAATCAGATAAGGAGGCAGGGCAGGCAAACCTGTGTTCTTATCGGGGAATAGTCAGACAGCTGAAGAGGAGGAGGAGAGGAGTGTGCTCTGACTGATGACTAGGTCATTGGCCAGGGAGGTGGGGAAAGGGAACACATGGCATCTGTGGTGCCATGCTTACAAGCTGGCACAAACCTCCAAACCAAATTTTGTGCCCATCTCTAATCAGAATCCTGCTAGTTATGACAATATGCGTAACTTTCAACAGCAACTTCCCAATTTAAGAAGTCATTTCTAGTTTTTTTCATCAAGCAAAAGTGGCATGACCTGGTGCACAACCAGAAAAGCACTGACTTTTTAACTGGTGGCAATTTGGGACTGATGGAAGTTACAATGTATGCTTGTAATAGGATTTCAGTCATAATACCTCAAGTTTTTGAATCCAAATGTTTATAAGCATTCACACAATTATTAGGAAAAGAAAGAATCTTTAAGAATAATAGATTTATTTCAGGACAACCTTTTGTGGATTACTGCCCACTTCATCAGATGCCTGACATGTACAGTGGTGCCCCGCTAGACAATTACCTTGCAAAACAGTTTATTCACTAGACGATGAGTTTTTGCGATCGCTATAGCGCTTCGCAAAATGGTGTTTCCTATGGGCGATTTTCGCTGGACGATGTCTCAGACCGTGCTTCACAAGACGTTTTTTTTGGGGGGACCATTTTTTGCAAGACAACGATTTTGACAGCTAGTTCCACGACTCACAAAACGGGTGTTTTCAGGACCATTTTTCGCAAGACAGCAGTTCTGACAGATGATCCGTGCTTCACAAAATGGTTTTCCTATGGGAGATTTTTGCAAAACGATGACGATTTTTCCCCATTGGAACGCATTAAATGGATTTCAGTGCATTCCAATGGGGAACCGCATTTCACAAGATGATGTTTTCACAAAACAGTGATTTTCGTGGAACGAATTAACATCATCTTGCGGGGCACCACTGTAGTATTGTTTATGTGCAAGTGATCATGCTTGTAGGATCAGACAACAGGAAATGTCTATCACACTATTAACACTGGCCATAAACTTTGACAGGGCTGGTTAGCATAAGCAAACCAGCAGTGGTAAGATCGTTGGCTAGTACACAACTCAGCTGTAATACTATCTTTGTAGCACTTCCATATTTAATACACTATGAAGTGTATACAAGTAGAATGAATGAATGAATAGCTTCTGCAGTTTTTAAAAGTCAACAGATTGTCATTGTATTTCCAGATCCTGTAAGCAGGGTCTGTTTGAAACCAAAATACCCAGGAGATGCCTTGAGCACCTATATAAATGCTAACTACATCAGGGTAAGTACATCTGTCAGACATACTTTGATTTGGATTCCTGTACTGCGCCGGGGGTGGGACTCAATGGCTTTCTGGGCCCCTTCAAACTCAATTATTCTATGATGCTTTGATTCTAAAGGGATGCATGTTGTCATTTGATATACCATATTTTATTTCATTTTGCTGTGGAACAATAAACAACATTTGATTCAAGTGAGTTATATATCATTCCTTTTTCAACCATAATACCTTTCATGATGCTCTAGCAACAGCCTGTGACATAAAGGCAAATAGGTTCTTTGCTGATTTCTGCATCGGTAAAATGTTGTGCACAATGGAAGTCACATATATAAATGCATTAAAATCCACAATAGCATAATATGTTATTTAGGCCATATTAAATGTTACAAAATACTATGCAAGCTTTCATGTTCTTTAGAATGCCTCAGTACACATTGTGCTGTGTGCCATGAAGACAGAACCAACTTACAGCAACCTTAGTAGGGTTTTCAAGGCAAGTGAGCTATTTAAGGAGTGGCTTTACCAATTCCACACCGCCAGTGAGTTTCCATGACTAAGTGGGGATTCCGAACTCTATCCACTACACCACACTGGGCATCCCGACTAAGTGAGGATTCCTAACTCCATCCAATACACCACACTGGACATCCACCTCATCATGTTTATAACCTCATCATACTAGGTAATAAAAAGAAATAAAGTGATAATGTAAAAGTAAGTGATGTTTACAACATGCTCATCATGTTTATCACCTCATCATACTAGGTAGTAAAGAAATAAAGTGGCAATGTAAAAGTAAGTGATGTTTACAACATGAGCCCTGTTCAGGAGTTATACTACTCATGCCATCTAACCTAATGCTCCCGAGGTTGATGAAAAAGGGAAATAAACAGACAATTTATAATTTTCAAATGCAGGTAAAATGGCTTAAATATCAGCTTCTTCTTCCCTCATTACACAGAGCTTTTGTTTGGTTTACTATCTAACTTAGGAAAGAATTCTGAAGAACTAAGAAGCTTGCATAATATTTTGAGAACTCTGAGTATGCCTAGAAAAATATTATGCTAATAGAGATCTTGGTTGGTTGGTTGGTTCTGTTTTGGTTTTGGTGAAACTTTTCTTATGGCCAGTACAGCTACTCTTTACTCCTTTGTGTATGAAATGAAGAACCAAGGGACCATACACCCTATAACAAATGATCCATCAATGGAAAATTTGTGGTAGTTCTTTTCTTGTTGAGGTGTCTATCTCTTTCAATCCCCATGAGAATCCTAACCTTTAAAGTGACTTTCTTGCATCTGTATCTAAATCAGGGTTATGGTGGCCAGGAGAAGACTTTCATTGCAACCCAGGGGCCCATGATTAATACAGTGAATGATTTCTGGCTGATGGTATGGCAAGAGAACAGTCCTGTTATTGTTATGATCACAAAACTGAAGGAGAAGAATGAGGTATGCTTTCTCAGCTTACTAAATCATGAATGTTAACTTTCTGAATGTGCAGATAGCCAGTACTATGATCCATGATCCCAAAACAAAATGGCCAATGTTAGGTGGAGGAGGTACTTCATGTCAGTGAGACTTAAGCATGAGTAACTTAAATCCCACTGGTTTTAGTAAGTCTGCTCTGTATTTTACTAAGTCTGGATCCAATGATGACAAATTTATACTTAGCCATTCCTTAAGTTTGACCAAGGCCAAAATCTTACTGGATACACTCAAGGGGAATTGAGAAAGTTGCTGTAGGTGTTGGACAAGGTGTTGGTTATTTGTCATATGTCATGACTGCACACTCGGTGCACATGCAGCACCTCATCTGTTAGCCATAGTGAGCTTCATTATCTTGTGCACACATATCTCCAAGAGGATTTTGGCCTATGTTTGGATCCAAACATTTGTTTGGTGGTGGTAGTGATGGTTATGATGCCATCTGTGCATATGGTGTTTTGCAGGGTTGCATTAAAAGGGTTTGGCCTTCTTTGAAGCCTACAGTTGGAATCAGGAAAGACAAATAGAAAATGGGAAGAGAGAGAAAGGAAAGGCAGAGGCACAGAGGGTAACTCTGAGCACTATTAGACATACCTAGGCTTTTCCTTAGTAATTTGGGAACAGAGATGGGAGATGGATGAGACAGAGAAAAGAGACGTGTCTTTGCTATAGAGCTGAAGTTCTCTCACTTGCAGTTCTCTGTTGTTGTACTAGAGTAGGCCCAGTGAAACAGTGGAGATTTGGTGAATGCAGAGTTGTTCTTTCATTGAACGACTCTGCATTCACTTTCATGAGCTTACTTGATTGATTGATTGATTGATTGATAGATTGATTGTATTTATACCCCGCCTATCTAGTCATTTCGACCACTCTAGGCAGCTTACAACATAAAGCATAACAAGTTCAAGAAAAATTTATAACAAATTAATTAAATGATTCTGTAAGATGGGAAAAATACAAAATAAATCAAATAAAGAGAGAGAAAAAAGGAAAGAGGAATTAACTGGAATCAATAAGGCACAACTAGAATTGGCCCATTTGAATGAATTAAACATATGGAGGAGTTGACTTATTAAATTTCCACTGATTCAATGGGCCTACTCTAGTACAACTTACTAGGGTCTACTCTACTATAACTTACTTACAACAACAGGATTTCAGCCAGTGGGCTGCACTTTTTTTATATATACCTTAACTTCCACTTCAAGTAAACCCTGCTGCATACTATCAGCCATCCTACCTTCTGATAATGTCAGTATCTATGAATAACAGATTTGCAACACAGTCCTGCCTGTGATTATGTGTTCTTTACTAGTCCAGTCCAATCTGTATGTGGGTGAAAATAGGTCTCATTGAGCAAAAATCCTGTTCATTCCTTTTGTCAGTGCAAGGGTTTGTTGCAAGCAGATGGGCAGTTTCTGCATTTGCACATGGAGGATTGTGACGTTCACCCTCGTAGCCCCTGCTTGTCTCCCCAAACACAGAGCTCACAAAGGCAAAAAAAACCTCTTGACACGCTGCCACCAGTTGATCTCCTTTTCAATGTATTTTACTTAGAAAAGATGAAGGTCCATTCAGTACTGACGTTTTAATAGAACAGGTTTATTGATTACAGATGGTTTCTAGGATAATTCATAAGCATATTCTTTCACTTTCACCAAGCATCAATGTTAATCTTCTATATTAAATATCACAGGTTACTAATCATTCCTCAGACCCTAAACTATCCTTCTCTCCGATTCCTAACACAGACTCCTCTGACTTTCCCCTCCCAGGCTCCACCTTTTAACATCTCTTGAGGCCCCACCTCTCAGCCATATTAGCATATAACTCATGAATACTACATATCTTATTACATAACTTAGGGTGAATGCTACGGAGGATCTATATAATTGTGAATAGATCCAAAACATATGTATTAACATCTAAAATATTGCATTCTAAGGGAACATGATATCTTAACAGTATTGGCTCTATCGTTAGGCACAGTGAGGCAGCTATTTAACATGGAAGATTTGGGGTATCGTGAAAAGACCCTTCTATCTGCCAGAGAATCATTCCAGCCTGGCACCCAAAATTAGAAGCCCTACAGCTGGAACCAGAAAGGTCCAGCTTGGGGATGGATCACGGTTGGGCAGGAGCACGTTTCTCTATGCATTGTGTGATTGCCGAGGGGAAAATTGCACTGGATCACTCCAGATTGTGGAGTGATCCAGTGGGGTCCAGATTGTGATCTATTTCCCCATATGATCCCACCCTGAGCTTGGTAGGAAGCACTAATCAATGATAGCCTTCCAATAGTGTAATATCTTAGGACAACTGTATAAATGGTTATTTATCTAATCTGATATAAATATTTCTTAAAAACCTACCCTGCGATCCCATATCTCCAGAAGAAATATTTTCCCAAAGGAAATGCCACATTTCTAAACACTTCCAAGGCTGTTTGAAAAGAATTACTTGAAAAAAACACCCAGTCCTTGCCAACCAACATATCCAGAAGCCCTGTGTTTACCTGAATCACCCCAGCTCCTTACATTGCAATTTGTCTGCATTGTTGTGGGTTGACAAGGACAATTTCCTCTTTAGAAGAAGGAGAGACATCGTAAGTGGTTCCAAGGCTATGTGGAGAAAAATTGTGTTTACAAATGATCTTCTGACATTCTATAAAGCAACACTGGCAAAGGAATTAAGAGCTGTTGGGATTATAAAAGAGTAACTGTGCCATCTTATTTGCTACTGCAAACACAGAGGTTTGTATGTTCCAGATCCAAATAAGTCATATTGTGATTCCTGAGAGGACAACACATTTCAAGTAGCTTATTGGGGAATCTGTATATTGCAAAGCCCATGTGAAGAATGCAGAAGCAAAAATTAAGAGAATAACAAGGCCCAAGGTAGTGTATTAATTAGATTGTCCAACTGGGGCTCAGGAGTTGAGAGATAAAAGTATGAAGAAGCAGAGCCACATGCACTGCCTTCAGCTCATTGGAAGATAGGCAGGATATAAATGTTAACAAATGAATGATTTTATTATATTATATATTCCAAGCAGTAATCAATTAGTAGCTCATATTCTGCAAACTTTTCTTGGGCAAGGGATCCTTGGTGAGACCCTATGGCACATAGGTCTGGGGAACTAATGGTATGACTCATGAAGCTAACCTTTGATTACATTAAGGATTCATCCTTTCTTGGTGAGCTTTTAGAGTATCTGTGTGTGTTTGTGTGAGAAAGTGTGTGTACTTGTGAGTGTGTATGTAAGAAAGAAAGGACTTGCTGACAAGAAACTTAACAGGAAAGGGATATTTGTTTGAGATGTATCAGAAGTGTGAAAAGAGTCAGTATCTGAAATCCCCAAGTCTCTCCCCCACAAAAAAATTTTTTTAAAAAAAGCTTTACTCAGAAAGTCCCTTGGTGGGGGGATATGGGAAGAAATTTTATTTTGAGCCTTTTCAGCACTTCTGATTCCCAAACCTCTGTATTTTCTTTGTCACTAGAGGGCACAAGGGGGCTTTTCAAATTAAATTGTGGTGTTAGGATAGTTCAAACCTGAAATATCACAAGACAGTTTTTGGACAACTGGACTCTTGTGGCAAAAAGGAGTGTGCTGATTGAATTATGTGATAGCCTGGAAATGGGTTGGTGTGCCCCAAATACTCAGACTGAGGGCATGTTGCAGCATCCCAGGGATCTCCTACCAACTCCCCTCAGACTGAAAAACCTACTTAGATGAGTAGCAAAACGTTTCAACCCAATAAGAAAGAAGTCCAGTTGCCATGACACAACTTCCAGATGACCTCACCTGGATGACTGAGAATCTTCAGAGATTCATTAGATATGTTTCTCATTCCTAAATTACCACAAGACCTATTGTTATTTTTGCCATTTGAAGATGCAATCTTGACAGAGTTTCTTGTACCACTGGAGGAAGAGAGAGCCTTGGAGGCACAGAGGTTGTCTCCAGGGGGTGGAGAAAGCCTTGCTTTGCTTTGCTTGTCATTCAAGCAGCTGTCTAATTTATAATAATCAATAATTATAGCTTGACAATTAGCAGTATCAACTTTAGAATGTCACACTTTGATCTTACTCTGTGTGGGCTGCAGTCCCATACACCCTTTGCTGGGAGTGGGTCTCCCTGAACTAAATGAGACTTGCTTTTGGGTTAATGTGGGAAAGTGGATTTGATTTAAACCAGGCTGGTGCAGATAATGAACAAAATCACAATTTCAATCCCTACTCAGAAAGACTTAATTGAATCATGTGATATTTCACCCTTCAACAAATGCATTGCTTCCTGCTATAACTTTAACCTATACTTTCCCCTGCATATATTTTTCATAATATCTATACACATACCAGCAGCCTGTGTTCATGGGTGACGTTTATATAACCAAAACAGCATTTTCTGTACAAAAGAGGGAGAGCTATCAAGAACCAAGGGTGGGGCAAGTATAGAGGAAATTCCCAAAACAATCAGTGAGGGCTGGGCATACTCATTGGACACCAGAATGCCAGGTGACACTTCGCAGGTGGAACAGAAAACCTGTGGGGGGAGGGCAAATAAAAAAAAGCATAACTTGATTGGTTCACATCTGAAAGAGGAACACTCCACATAGCAACATTTTGCTGCAGGATCAATTTATTTATTTCAAATATATACACATTATACCCTGTAAATGTGTTCTCATGGTTAACAACCAATACAAGTATATTTTATTCTGTTTTATTTTGGAAATCATTGGGCAAGATCCTGTTGCCTAATTACACAAGTGCAACTTGATGTTGCAGTACAAGAGCACTGAGACAGAAGTGCTATTTATGAAGCACTTCCACCACCGCAATGGAAAATTGGCTTTGCCAGGGATGTGTGACTGATTTACACAACTGAAGGGCACAATTCCTTGCTGCCAGACACAATACCTGGCATATTTACAGAGGCATAACCTGACACTGCACCTGTATGAACAGGATTTTGCCCAATGGGTACAATAACTGGCTATCTCAGCAGTTTGAACAGGGCATTAATCTAATCATAGGGTAGAATATTTTTCTCAGTTCAGGTTTTCAGTCAAAAATAAATCTGAAGGAGATTTTCGTTTAATCCAGCATTTTTAAAATTTTCCCCCACCCAGAAATGTGTGCTTTATTGGCCAGAGAAGAGAGGGATCTATGGAAAAGTGGAAGTACTTGTTAACAGTGTGCAAGAATGTGAGAACTATACTGTCCGCAATCTTACGTTGAAGGTAACTAATTGGTGTTATTGTTGTTTGAAGTCTGTATGTAATTATTAGTTTCTGGAGTGCTGGAGGATAGTTGTACAGTCGGGGACTCACAAGTACTGGCTCTCTCCATGAGATTTACACACATTCTTTTTCTCCTTTCCCTCCCCTGTTGTCCTTCCCTTGTAGTGTACATGAACACGGATTCTCATGCTCCAAATTATGACTTAGATGCAACTACAGCCGGGGTGGTGGTGGGGAAGCAGGAATCCATGGGAAGGCAAGGGAGAAGCTATCATCCAGAGATACACACAACCCAACACACATCGTCTTCTTGCATGGCTTATGAACTGTGGAAGCAGTGGCAGTTGATACAGCTTTCCTGTCTTCCCCCTTCCCTCTTTACCTCAGCACAGCAATAGGACACTGCAAAACACGGGTGGGGGGGGAGAAGGAAATATTTCTTAGCAGCCCAACGAGTGAGTTGTAGGATGGCTCCTTTTCTAGGGTTTAGTGCATGCAGACTGACAAAAACTGGAGTACAGAAAGCCAAGTATCACCCTAATCAGGCAAGCAGGCAGGCAAGTGGGAAGATAAGCCACTTCCCTCTGCCTTGGAAGGGGTGCAAGGCAGAACAAGATTCCTCCCAAACCCACAAGAGAAAGAGGTGAAGTTAGGGGGAATGAATACATAACTTGCTTGTTGGAAGCAACAGGGCTGGTTTTGAAGAAGGGTCCAATCCAAAGAGACACAAGTCAGTCTGTATTCTGACAGAGCCAATAAGGAGACACTTGGAGAGTTCTGGCTGCAGCCAAAGTGCTGATGCTTCAGCTCTCTCTGGCGTCGTACTACACCACTGCTAGAGAATGACCCCAACACTCAACTTGGTTCCAGAAAAGTTATATAAATAATGGGTATAGTATGATGGAGGGAGGAGAACTGTTAGCACCCTCTGTCCTAGGCATCAGTCTGTTCAACTTTATTGTTTAACATGCCAGTATAACACTGTACATATCTAGATATACAGTCATGTGATTTATTTTTGTTAAATAAATCATGGCACGGTGTAATATGCCATGTGTTGTCATTTATCTGAGGTTGTTAATAACCTTATTTTCAGACCTACTAAGGACCAGATGATTTTTATTATGTCCTGATACATAAAACCATAGAATTCAAAGAGGGTATACATTCTTTTTCACATGACTGTAGATATTGATAACTTGTCCATCATTCATCATAAATATGCATAATTATTTTCAGCAAGGCGGCCAGTCAAGTCAAGTCAAACATTATTGGTACACATCCTGGCCAGACCATAAAACTCCAGATAGTGCTCAACCACTTCTACAGCTCATGCTGGATGTAGAAGAAGACAGGATGGCATCGGTCGGTAGAGGACCTGTAATTGTGCATTGCAGGTAAGTAAAAAAGCAAAGCAAAGCGTGCTGCTTATATACCGCCCCATAGCGCTTCAAGCACTCTCTGGGCGGTTTACAATTTAATTATGCAGGCTACACATTGCCCCCCGCCCAGCGAGCTGGGTACTCATTTTACCGACCTCGGAAGGATAGAAGGCTGAGTCAACCTTGAGCCGGCTACCTGGGATTTGAACCCCAGGTCGTGAGCACAGTTTTAGTTGCAGTACAGCGATTTAACCACTGTGCCACGATGCAAGTTATTTGCAATATAGCAAGACTTTCTGTAGGGGATACCTTTTTAAAAAAGGAATCAGAAAAGTGGTACTTGTATATGGGGATTTCTACTGGTAACAAATTCATGACACAGCATGGAAGCAACAAGTTACAAATGCAAGTTATTTGCAATATAGCTTTTTTCTATTGAAGGCCTAATGAATAATTAGGGTATACATTTTTAAAGTGATACAAAAAGTAGGAACAATGCTTTCATATTTGTGTAACAAGAGATTTCCAGTTATTAGAAAATGTTATTTCTAAAGCTTCTTTAGATGTTTTACAACCTTTTTGACAGTTTTAGAAGAGGTAGCCGTGTTAGTCTATGCAAGCACATCAGGTGAAATCCAAAGAAACAAAGCAAAACAAAACAAAAAGAAAAATATGTTGTACCTTAAAGACTATTATATTTTAAGCTAAGCTTTCATGGACAGAGTGCCATATGTTTTTAGCATTTTGGCAAAAACTTATCAGATTTTGCCGTTCCTTACAGTGCTGTTTATTTATTTTGTTTTTGTTTTTTAAGTGACATGAAGTAATAACAAAGCAGAAAACTTTAAAAAATAAGGGCAGGAACAAAAGTAAATTGTTTTTCACCCACTGTAATGAGCAACAGGAATAAATTCCTTCTTAAATGTAACTTTTCAGGCTCTGATACTATCTAACAAGAACACAGGAAACAATCCTGTGCCAAATCAGAATTAAGCAAATTGAAAGCAAATCTCCAGGTTCAGATAGGATTCTTTCTCAGATGCTGGAATCTTTTTCATGGAAAGCAAGTATTCAGTGCCTTGCAACAGTGGGAGGAGTGAAATAGGATGCATGCAAGCTAAGGTCTCTATTGTTAAGCTGCTTCCAAAAGATTAATTGTCTCCATTCATTGCATCACCTCCGTAATGTAGCATGATCCATACTTAAAACAAATTATGCATCCAACCAGTAACCATATAGCTTTTTGGTAAGTCTCAGGACCAGCTTCACTTTTGAACAAACAGGATTGGAAAAAATATTTCAAGTCAGGATGGCAAAGTGCTGGCTCTAGATCAGCTGATGCTGTGCTCAACCCACACCTCTCTCAGCCTAGGGATGCCAGAAAATATTTAGAATGACTCTCACCCTGGCCTGATTTCATGTCATCATTAGGGCAGTTTCCCTGGGCAGGAGGACATTTAGATGAGTCTACACCGGCTTCTCTCTCATTTTACCCATTTTCCACTTCTGCCAACAGAATGTACTTTGGTGACTGATTGCTCTGTCGGTCAATCTCTACAATCAGCCAGCATAAGTTTCTTGTGCTGATCTGAATCCCTATTGTTAGAATTGCATCTCTGAGTTTCAATTGCAGAAATCCACAATTCAGTTTCTATGGAGGATCCCCATTTGTATTCAAGTGCAGTTAATAGAATTTCTCCTGGACTGCAAGAAACTCTTGATGCTTAGATTGTGTCTTCTTCATCTTTATGTACCGCAACAGTTTTTTTAAAAAATGGAAATACTTTTTCCCACACTCTTCTCATCCCTGTGTAGGAGTACCTTCTTCTGTTGATTCATTGCCCGCTTTTGCTTTTCTCTTATCTTAGTATGTCTTCTATACTATATACCTGTGTCTTGTCAAGTCCATTCTGACTTATGGCAACCCTTTCCAGGGTTTTCTAGGTATCAGAAATGGTTTAATTCCCTTTTTTCTGGGGGCATCCTGGCACTTTGCAGCTTGCTCAAGGCTACATGGGCTGGCTCTTCTCTTGGGAAGCACACCGTGGAATCGAACGCCCAACCTTTGACTCCGCAGTTAGATAGATCTAACTCGCTCAGCTATACTGGGGGGGGGGACACACCTTCAGAGGCATGTGTGGTTGCACACTGTGCCAGGAAACTATTTACACATTTGAACTGTGAATTGGTCAGTTGATTAAGGAAGAGACAAAGATATAACTATGCCTAGAAATGTAAGTAAAAACCAGATGATTTAATTTTTGGCACAAGCATTTATATTCATGTTTTGGGGGGATTCAGAGCACATAGCTGTTTACAATTTGTAAATAGTCCCCCAGTCACCTCCGTGCTTTATGAAACTTTCACCCATGTTGGATATCTGTCTAGGCTATCGTCTATCATCCCTTCTTTTCCATGGAGAACACTCCAGCATCCTTATCAGATGATAGAGGTTAAGGAGTATCATTTAACTCCTACTCAGATTTAGTTTATTTTTTATTAAAACTTTCAGTGCTGGAATAGGAAGAACTGGGTGTTTTATTGCTACTGCTATCGGCTGTCGCCAACTGAAGGAAGAAGGAGTTGTTGATGCATTAAGCATTGTCTGCCAGCTGCGTCTAGACAGGTAAGATAGTGTAGACTGGAAAAATCTGTCTGTAATTGCTTGCTAATACATCTCAGCTCCCAGGTACCCCTCTTCTGATTTTATGCAGGACAAAGCGAAAAAAGAACTGATGACAGAGTAAAGGAATCAAGGAACTTGAAAGATGCAGGACCAAACTAAACATGATGATGGGGATACAGTATAAGAGTGCATTGCTGTCTCTGCTGTTAAGAAGTCTGATAATTTTTATATTTTTCTACAGAGAAGACATGACCTCTTTAGGGGGAGTGTGTTAACACTAGAGATAGGGTTATTTGTATATGAATACAAATATGCCTTCACAGCTGGAGTTAACAAGGGTCCGGCTGCTGTGGCCAGACCATCCACTCACACATCCCCTCTCTTCCTTCCAGTTGCTCTGGAGCACTGCTCAACTAGCTACTCAGTAGGCTTGCAGGGAGACTGGTCCTCCTTCCCTCTGCCAGGAATGGCTAGACAACCAGGAAGAAAATGGTGCTCAGGCTCCAGCTGCACGGGAATATTCGTATATGAATAGCCCCATGTCTAAACACACATGTTGCAGTCTTAGGGGGTGACTACATTGGTAAATTATACAGTATGAGAAAAAGTCAGGATTGGGACAGTAAGATTCATGTCATTTTCATTTGAATAAATGATCTACATGTCAATGTAGATCAGCCCAGAGATTTTTCCCCGATCCATTAGTCCAATTTTTTCCTCCCCCTCTGGTGTTTCTATTTTTTTTTTTTTTTTTTGCAAGTGAATGCACTTGCATTGGTTCAGGCAATGTGATTACTTGAGATGATGTGGAGGGGCTTGTAGCCATTCTATGTGAAGCCATTCCATCCAGCAGCAGTGAGAGAGAGACAAGGCAGTAGGGAAACTGGCTATCATTTGAATCCTCTCCTCCCAAATCTAGTGCCTGAGTCTGCTTGTTTTCCCTCCCCTCCCTCCCTCTCTTCCCCCTTCCCCCTCCTCCCTCCTCCTCCCTCCCTCCCTCCATCCCTTCCTCCCTTCCTCCCTTTGAAGGGTTTAATACTAGAGATGGGGGTATTCATATTCATATTCATAAACATATATGAATACCTCCACATAGATGGACATAATGAGGGTCCAGTGCCATGGGGCCGGATGGTCCACTCACTGATTTGCCACTGCCACAGGTGCCGCAGAGCCTTGTAATGACTCCGGAGATCCATTTGACAAGCCACTTTTCAACCTAGCAGGGAGGCTTGTCATCCCACCTCCTGCAAGGAGTGGCGAGCTGAACACCATTGGAAAGCTCTACGGTGCCCGCAGCAGTGGCAGATTGGTGAGTGGACCATCCGGTCCCATGCAGCTGGACCCTCGTTATGTCCTCCTGTGGGGAGGTATTCGTATACGAATATGAATGCCCCCATCTCCACTTAATACCCTAGCACTAGGACACCTAGTTGACCAAAGGGGGAAAAGAGAGTGAGGAGTCAGCAAAGAAAGAGGAGAAAATTATCACTCAGACATGTTTCCAGCTTATTATGGTAGTTCTGCTGTAACTATGCTTCCTGCAAATCTGGGCAACTAGAATAAAGCTACCTTTAAAAACTGCGAACAAGTCTGAGTGCCAATTTCCTCCTCTCTTTCTGCTGAATACTATGTGTCAGCCTTCCCCTGTGCAACTTCACAGAGAATCCATTCACATTTTTTCTTGCTATGTAGTTATACAGTTTGTCTAGATCAATCTTTCACCATTATAATCAGATTAGTGACAGAGAGACTACATTCACACATCTCCTTGACCATGTTGGTTTGATGCTCCGATATGAGTCTTGGAGATCTTATAGGTTCATTTATTTTTATTAATTGTATTAGAAAGCAACTGTAAAAGGCTGCCCTTTTTTTTGCAGAAGAGTGGGGAAATGTGATACAGTTGCCTTTTTCAAATTTCCTCACCCCTAGCCATTTTCCAGAGCTTCTAAACTATTAACATAGCTGTTCAGGAACTGCACAACATACTTTTTCTGTAGCTTTTAGCACATGTGTCTGATCAACACACTTTACTTTTATGGTCAGATTAAACAAAGTTGTGCTGCCAAAGATGAAATGATTCACTGCTGCAGAATTTCTTCAGTGTCAGCTGGTGAAACAGGAAGCCTGGTAGGCGTTAGGAAAAAAGACAGGAAGAGCTGCACTTTGTACATGTGCTCTAAGGGCAAGACAGGTCACATAGTTAGTGTAAAAATGAGTGTGTGTTGTGCTGTCAGCCAGATTCTGATTTGCTTCTATGTTTTAAGATGCACGTTGCTCTGTCCAGATGACATCTACAACTAGTTCAAGGATCTGAAGACTGTGCACATGACTGAGGAGGACAAACAAGCAAATAAGGGATTTCAGATTTCATTGCTCAGAATATACAGTATGATTGTGCTTCTAATACAGCAGTTGGTTGGTAGTCATACATCTCTAAAAACTGGTTGTTTCTGTTATCCTGTACAGTATTCCCATGCCTTCCTGAGTGCAATTACAATGCTAATCAGGAAAGCTACATCTAAATTAATAAAATTTAAAATTAATCAGATTAAATATTAGTCAAAATATTAAAATTTTGCAGTGTAAGAGAAGGATGTGCAAGCTTCTAGCAAGCCTTCAAGGGAATGCCATTATAATCAGATTAGAGACAGAGAGACTACATTCACACATCTCCTTTACCATGTTGGTTTGATGCTCAGATATGAGTCTGAGCATCAAACCAACTGGTTAGCTCAGTTAGTTTAGGTCTCTGGCTGTGGAGCCAGAGGTTGGGAGTTTGATTCCCCACTGTCTCTCCTTGGCAGGGGTTGAACTCAATCCACAGGATCCCTTCCATTCTGCAGGTCTAAGATTATTAATGTATAGCCTGCCTGGGTCTTAGAACAGGGATGCAAAGTGGCCTAAATCAGCAGTCACAGTACTGATAACTAGCTCAGTTAGTTTAGGTCTCTGGCTGTAGAACCAGAGGTTGGGAGTTTGATTCCCCACTGTCTCTCCTTGGCAGGGGTTGAACTCAATCCACAGGATCCCTTCCATTCTGCAGGTCTAAGATTATTAATGTATAGCCTGCCTGGGTCTTAGAACAGGGATGCAAAGTGGCCTAAATCAGCAGTCACAGTACTGATAATGGATCATTCTTTCCTTTCTTCCTCAGAAGAATCCTGGGATATGTATTGAATAATGTTTTTGTTATGTGTTCCTCAGAAGAATCCTGGGATAAGATATGTATTGAATAATGTTTTTGTTATGTGTCATAAGTCAGAACTGATTTCTACCAACTCTAATAGGTTCCAAGGTACAGTAAGTGAGATATTTAAGGGGTGGTTTTACCAGTTCCACACCCGCTGTGAGCTTCCATAACAGAACAGCGATTCAAACCCAGACCTCCTTTGTCCTAGTCCATTACTCTGTCCACTGCACCACATTGGGTATCCCCAGTGTGAACAAGAGCAAAAAGATAACAACATTATCTTCATAAGAGCTGAATAATCTGATTTTAGAAATGATAAATTGTACCTGTGAACTGATCATTTAAATCTACCTTGGGAAGCAATCAGTGAAGTATATTGTGTGTTTCTAACCACACAGAATGACTACATGAAGTTGTAGTTAGAATTACTGTTGAATGACAGATCTGGTTCTGTGCCAAGTAATCAGTGTGACTTCTCACATTCAAGCATCCCAAATGGAAAAAAGCAATCTTTTCTTTTCTTTTCTTTTTTTGGAGCAGTCATGTTTCTTTCACCCCCGATGTCACCTCAGCCAGATAGGTTTTGGAGTCTTTTGAAATAATACAAAACTTTATGAAACCAGTATCATCATCATCATCATCATCATGATGTGCTGTCAAGTCAATTCTTACTTACAGTGACCCTTTTCAGGGTTTTCTAGGTAGAGAATACTCAGAAGTGGTTTCCCATTCCCTGTGCACCTTGCCCAAGGCCACAGAGGCTGGCTCTTCTCCCTGGAGACACAGTGGGGAATTTATCTCCCCACCTCTGGCTTCCCAGCCAGATAACAGAAACTCATCACCCTTTTCCCTTCCTTTTTTTCTCCCAGAGGTGGAATGATCCAGACAAGTGAACAGTATGAATTTGTGCATCACGCTTTGAGCCTGTACGAAAGCAGGCTCTCTGTTGAAGCTGTCCAGTGAAATCAAGAAGGAGGAAATTGAAAAGGTGTCAATCTCTCATGAGGTAACTGCTTCATTACCTCCCAGCAACTTCTTCAAGGAGTTTACAGCCGGGGCAGAAGAGGCCTTGCAGCCAACTTGTAAAAGGATTGTTGATGGTTTTTGTCTTTCAAAAAAGCATGGAAGATTGATGGACCCTTGCCTTGAATGTATTGTGAGTTCCCTAAAACAGTTTTGATGAAGGTTAATGTACCAATGTTACACTTGGATTTCACATATATATCTTATGGGAGATTTATTTCTCTGTATTAATGGCATCTGCCACACAGAATGTATGTGACATATGTATGCTCTATAACAGCTGGAGGTGGGAAATTCCACTGAAGAAATGTGTATAAATGCTTTAACGTTTGCCAAGTCTGTCTTGTGAAATAGGCTGTCAGGTGTTCAACTGTACCTGTGAAGTGCTATTACCTATTCTGTGGTAAACATAATTTGGAGCACTTGGGATTCTTGAGCTGAAAGTCACAAGTGCTAAAAGGTGCAAGTGATCATGGTTTCAGACAAAAATGACCAAAAAAGAGAGAGGAATTTAAAATTGGTTGTTTCTGAAACTATGAAAAAAAATCATTTGCATTTTCTATGACAGCTCCAGTAAGTACTCTTCTATATTTAATGTGTATAGTAAATTCTGTAAAACATTGGAGAACACAATGGCTGCAGCACAAAAATAACCCTTCCTGTGCCAACAGTACTAAAACAAAGGAAAGTTGTAAAAGTGGTCTGCATTCTCTTGGAGCTTGCTGTACTTTTGTGACCTTCCAGATCGTTTCATGGGGGGCTTTCAGAAAGCCATTCCCAATAGGTTGAGTCTATTGTCTTCTTCAGTGTTTATATATATTTATTCGATACCATTTATTGTCTTAGAAGCTGCTTTATGCTCCAGGACACAATCCAGTGTATTTGTAAATCTTGTGGGTCATTTTACTTTGGAAAAAAACTTTGCTACATATATTAAATGGTAATAATTTTAAATATTTGCCTGTCTTTTACTAAAAGGGGTGGGGGTTGTTGTTTTGAATAAGTTGTCAGCCTTCCATTTCTTTCATGGAAAGGAGGTCTGTTTGAGAGAATGCAAAACCAGAATGCTAGGATTCTAATATTTATTTTCTTTTTTTAATCTTGGTGCTGATCAGTTTGTTAAGAAAAAGAGTTAAAACGGGCATTGCCACCTTTCAGCAAGAACATTTGGGATTTCAACATGGAATCTTAAAATGAGTTTCTAAAGCAGTGATGTTACCTTTGCTTCATTTAGCCAATAAACTTGATAAAAAATATTTAAAGATGCTCGTATTTTATCTGTTTATTGTTTTAGCTGTCATCAAATATTGCTGATCTTCTACATTGAGAGGTAGAAAATACTCAGAATTGCTTCTTAGGATCAAATGTGATGCATTTATTAAGGTACCGGGTTCTTTCCTAAATGGTGAGAGATGTCTGTTATAGCTAGATGTGTAAAATTTCCAGAATAAAAAACAAACAAACAAACAAAAACAGGGAAAATATATGTGTTTTTCTAGAAAATTGGAAAGTTTTGGAAATTTTATATCTCTAGTCATCACATGCTTTCACTCAGCTCTGTATCTTGTATTTCATAGAATTATAGAATACCGAAGTTGTCAAGGGCCTATAAGGCCGTCGAGTCCACTCCCTGCTCAGTGCAGGAAAACAAATCAAAGGATATCTGCCAGGCAGTTCTCTAAATTTCAATGCTGGAGAACTCACCACCTCTCAAGGTAATTGGTTGTGTTGCCATTGTGCTCTAACAGGAAGTTTTTCCTGATAGTCAATAGAATTCTGGCTCCCTGTAACTTGAGCCCATCCTTGCCTGTCCTGCACTCTGGGATGATCAAGAACAGATTCTGCCTCTCCTCTTTATGACAGCCTTTTAAATATTTGAAAAGTGTTATATTTTCCTTCCATCTTCTTTTCTCAAGGATAAACATGCCCGGTTCTTTCAGGCTTTCCTCACAGGGTTTGGTTTCCAGCCCCCTGATCATCCTTGTTCCCTTCCTCTGAACTTGTTGTACCAATTTGTCTGCATCCTTCTTGAAGTACAGTGTCTGGAACTAGACACAGTACTCAAGATGAGGCCTAACCAGTGCAGAATAGAGGGGAGCTAGTACCTCGTGGGATTTGGAGGCTATACTTCTGTTAATTCAGCCTAAATTGCATTCGCCTTTTTTTAGTAGCCTCATCAAACTGTTGGATCGTATTCAGCTTGTGATCTACAATGATGCCAAGATCTTTTTCACTTGTAGTATTGCTGAGCCAGGTATCCTACATCTTGTAACTGTGTATTTGGTTTCTTTTTCCTAAGTACAGTACTTTCAGCAAGCTTTGTTTTGTATTTAATCATTGGAAGGTAAACATGGACTTAATTTGCAAGTCTTTTTGGTGAGGCAGAAATCTCTCAGGAAATCCCACTGTGTATTTTCACATCATGTCTACAGAGTGATGAAAAGCTACATCAGCTAAATGTCTTATGCAGTCTTGGGCAAGGAATCACCAGGCCTAAGATTCTAGATCCATGAATGCAAGTCTGTGAGAAATGTTTACATTTTGTAAAGAAGGCCTGTGGCACAGTCTAACTAGGAGCTTTATGGTTCACAGGTCCTCTCTCAAAAAGGGCAAATTGGGCAGACCAATTTTTTAATGCAACTGGACATGAACAGGGTGGATGTGAAAGAGCCATCCTTCAGTCTGATGGTGGTTTCCTCATATAATGGGTAAGAAATGTGTACTTGCCCAGAGTAACCATTGGGTTAGATGGGCATACAGTATGTATGTATATATAAACAGTCACACAAACTCTTCTAGATGATATTCCCATATGCCATAACTAGACTGGCCATGGTGTAGTGGGAAAGAGAAACAAGTATAACAAAAGAAAAAGAAGTAAGGAAACAGAGAAATGTTGCGAATAAAAGACGGTGATGTCTGGATTTTCTTTGCAAAATATTAATAGACATGTCCAATTGATTGAATTCAGGAGAATCTAGATAATCTAAATAATGTAAGGAAGACTTTTGAGCAATGCTTTTCAGTGGTTGGTCTTCTGGATATTATGGATTTGTTGCTTGGGCTTCTGGAAGTTGAGGTCCAAAACATATGGAGGACCAAAGGTTATGAACCAATGCCTTAGAAGCTATGCTATTCCAAACTTTGGCGTAGGGGTCCCAGGAGTAGCTAAAGCCCTCCAACTTCCAGGCATATAGGTGCCCCCTCCAGACCTCTGGAGATTGTTCACCTACACATTAGTGATACTGCCCTTCATTCTGTTGTTACACAGATGTTTAAACATAAAGGATGAAACACTTGCAGTATCTAATCATGTGATATTCCTGGTCCGATACATAACATATCATTACAAAATGCTGGTGGTATTTAAAGCATCATCTAGTATGTATTTAAATAGGCCAATCAAAAGCACCTGCAGACATATAATGGTTCACAGACAGGCAATTAAACAAAATTACAGTTCGTTATTCTCAACTGAGTTTTCAAAGAAATTCAAGCAATATATTTCTTTCACAAAATGTACCCCTTTTTTGCTTGGGTTTCCAAACTACAACAGATAGTTAGAACAGACCAAAGACTCATATGAAAGGGCAAAGTGGCGTAAATCTCCCCAAAAACAATTGAATAGAAGGAAGTGTTCGTCACTGACTTTTTCCTCCTATGAAGGCACATTTCCTTCCTAGCCTTCGCTTCACTTATCTGGAGTGTGCATTTTTTTTAAAAAAAAAAGGAGAGAGAGAGAAAGAGAAGCAATGGGAGCTGTTAGAGGGAAAATGGAGATTTTATTTCGTGTTCTGATTTTTACCTGCCTGCCCTTTGAGATGTCTGGTAAGTAAGACTCTTTGACATGTTCAGATTTCTTCCTCATCCTGGCTGTGATTTCCAAGTGTTCCTGGGAGTTTCCACAATGTTGTTGAAAGAGAATAATTTCAGAGCTTTGGTTTATACAAGACGAACAGAGGGATGGGCCAAGCGAATCCCAGATTGTTTAGGTTTCATTCAGAAAGAAAATAAACTTTCATTTTAACAGTTACTTCACTCTTTGAGAAATTCTTCCACTGGATACTCCCTTCGGGCTGAAATCATTTCAGAGGAACACATCCCGTTTATTCATGTACTGTGACCATGGGAAAACCACAGGCTTACAAACAAGTTTTAGGCATAGTAACTTGTGTAATAATTTGTTCCACAACATGAGAAATGAAAAAAAGAGAAAAAGGCTAACAAGATGTGCTACTTTAGATGCATTAGCGATCTACCTTTTAGCTTTGATGGGACTTCTCATTGAATGGTTGTTGTAATTAACGCTGAGGCTGTGTTTGCTTCAGATGATCTGCACTGGGGGCCAGCAACAGTTGGTTTGGGGGCCCAACTAACCATTGTGAGCATGGTGACAGTCTGAGTCGTTATTGCTAAAATATTGGCTAGAAATGCAATTCAACATACCATGCTCTGAGTTTGTATTGGCAAAATACCTCATATTTCTATGAAATATGAAGAATCCTGTTCAGAATTCTGAACTGTGGTAAGGAAGAAGACACATTTGAAAAATCTTTTTTTCAGTTAATGGATTAGTTGTTATGAAAAAAAAAAGTTAATTAAAAGTTTGACCTGCTTTTAAATTTTGGAGTCAAAGTTAGGGTTGCTCAAATCTTCTGTGTTTAATAAAAGGGTTTAAAATAAGTGGTGGTGCTGCGGGGTAAATCGCAGATGCCTCTGTATTGAAGGTTTGAAGACCAGCAGTTGTAAGATCGAAGCCATGAGATGGAGTGAGCTCCCTTCACTTGTCCCAGCTCCTGCCAACCTAGCAATTCAAAATCGCAAGTAGATAAATAGGTACCACCACGGTGGGAAGGTAACAACGTTCCGTGTCTAGTCGCACTGGCCACGTGACCACGGAAACTGTCTTCAGACAAACACTGGAAACGGGGATGAGCACCGCCCCCTAGAGTCGGACACAACTGGACATTTGTCAAAGGGAACCTTTACCTTTACCTAGAGGAGACCCATTGAAATCATTAGGGCAATTAACCTAATTCATTTGTTTCAAAAAACCTCTCTGAAGAATTACTAAGTTTGGGTTAACTTCTCTGGGTCTGTCTACTCTTTCATATTTTGATATTTTATATTGCTTTGATGACATTTTTATCCCAGAGTAGTTGAAAAGCTAGGGGATGTGGTGGCGCTGTGGGTTAAACTACAGAAGCCTCTGTGCTGCAGGGTCAGAAGACCAGCAGTCGTAAGATTGAATCCATGCAATGGAGTGAGTCCCTGTCGCTTGACCCAGCTCCTGCCAACCTAGCAGTTTGAAAGCATGTAAAAATGTGAGTAGATAAATAGGGACCACCTCGGTGGGAAGGTAACAGTGTTCTGTGTCTAGTCATGACCACATGACCACAGAAACTGTCTTTGGACAAACGCTGGCTCTATGGCTTGGAAACAGGGATGAGCACCATGCCCTAGAGTCGGACACGACTGGACTAATTGTCAAGAGGAACCTTTACCTTTACCTAGTTGAAAAGCTAGCCAAGTGAGAACGAATCTGGGAATATCTAGAATATTCAGAAAGTTAGCAACACAATGTCCCAAGCATCATTTCATGCCATTATGAACTAGAGCTCGCAAAAGTGACAATTGTTTACTGTTAATTCCTAGAATCCTCTCAGTCAACTCCCCTCCCAACTGTTCCAACTTATGTTTTGGATATTTTGCTGTCTTGGAAAGTCTAGGTATTATAGTTTTTAGAAGTTCAAACTCTGGCTGAACTATGGTTTTGTTTCAATTATTTCTATGTGAGTTTCAGGGAGTAAGATAGGCAAGGCTGAGATGATTCTAACCTGTTCATATCCGCCTTGACTATTGTTATTCTATGGATATTAATATGTGTTCCATCTGTATGGGTTCTTCATTTTTTCAGGTGGTTTTCTTATTATCCACGAACAAAAACAACAATGTATTTATGAAAGCAGTAACATAGCACACGTGGGAACTTGCAACTTTACCAGTGTAAACCACCAGTGGAGATGGATGAAGGATGAAAAGCTTCTCCATGTTAGATCTGGCCAATGCTTGGCCGTCATCATGTCCCACGCTGCACATTCCCGTAGAGCAATCATTGCCAATTGCTCTGAGGCACCTAAATGGACCTGCCACAGCATGGAGGGACTTCTTGAGGTGAAAAATAGCTCACTGTTCCTCAAGAAACAAGGCTCTAAGGCTGTTGTGAAGATGGGTAGAAAATATCCCCATAGCTGGAAAAAAATTGATGTCAATGAGAAAGAAGAGCCTGTCTATGGAAACCTATGTTCACAAGATGGTAAGCTGCTCCTTTATAATATTTGAGCTTGAAGCTGTGTACAGGACCATTATCTATTGGATTCTTTGCCGCATAGGGTGACTTGGAAAAATGGGCAGCCACTCTGGGTAACTTTTAAAAACTACATTTTAAAGGTAATAATGAGATATGCCTTTCTATATTTTCAAAATGGCTGCCAAATTAGTTTATTTTAGAAACATCAAGTGCAAAACAAAAAGTCTTGTGGTACCTTTAAGGCTAATACATTTATTTGATACAAGCTTCCACAAACTACAATCCACTTCTTCAGACACATGGATCACAATACCTGGGCCACCGGTTTCTGTATACTGTTGATGGTGTGGAGATGGTAGTGGGACCTATTATGGGGGTGGGAGTACAGAGATTGGACCAAGTGGAGTAATGAACTTCCAAGGTGCCAACAATGGCATTTTAAACACAGGTAGTGAAGGTCCAAGGTGTTGATGGTACTGACAACTTGACAATGGTTAGATTTAAGTGATGTGTCTTTTCAGAACTTGAATTATCAGGAAGACTAGAAAGAATGACAGTCAGCGTTCCATCATAAACATCTGTATGGCTGACAGTAGAAAAAGCCAGCTTTTTCAGTTACATATTAACACATTACAAACATAAACACACACACACACACACACACACACATATATACAAACATATTAATAAGCTGGTCTACTACAAAGAGCTTGTCTCTCTCTAATATATTCAATAAAGTCTGCCCTGTGACAAAATCTTGCAATATGGAGTGTTTCAGTTCAGTGTTCCACCCAGCCAACCAGTAAGACAGTCATGGGTACACCAGCCCATTCTCCCTCCCAACCCAGTTTTCATTTTCAATGCACACCCCAACCATTAGATACTCAGTGTTCTGTAAGATTTGACAGCACTCTGTGGTCATAGCACATGCTAGGTCCTGTATGAAACTGATTGGTCCCAAGGTCAACCCTGCTATTAGAGTGAGGTGGCTATCTCAGGTAGTGGATGTTGGGCATCATGAAGGAATGGAAGATTATCACTTACCTGATGCATTACTTTTGAATTATACTGCCAGTTTTGGAGAGAGGTGCTCGTAGGGTTTCTGCCTTAAGTGAACAACAACAACAAAAAAAAGGTTGAGGCTTGACACTATACACCTTGATTTGGACAGGGCAAGGGTACTATTTGTTGATGGGTCTGAAGCACCAAAGGTTCTTGGACTAGTCCTGGCGAGTCCAGTTGGATTATTATTTTTTCATTGTTGTTTGTTTGATTGTTTACATTTCAGCCAGACATTGGTTTTTCTCAAACATGTTGATATCTCTCTTTTGTTTCTTAGTGGCTTAGTGTTGTGTACGTTATTTCTCTTTGTTTCTTAGTGGCTTAGTGTTGTGTACAATGCTGTCAGCCCTCACCAGCTGTGAATTGGCTATCAGAAGGCGTGATAGGTGCGGTTACAGATTCCAAGAGGTTTTTTAGTCTGTGTTAAATACTGACACCGATAGCAACTACCGCAGGATTTTAAAAACGGAGCACATACCGACTTCATTGTAAATTCATTTAGCACTCCAAAAATTCAGGAAAAAATAGTTTGTTCATATATTATTGGCTGATACCATTTGACTCAGAATTTAAAGTACACTTTGAATGTATGCATACCATTGAATACACAGGTTCCTCAAACTAGGTACAATTATTAAGGATGTACACTGTCTTCAGACAAATGTGTAAAAAGAAACCAAATCATTCATGCATTTCTGTGGCAGCCATGGGAAAAAGAGCCCAGAGGCACTTCTCTAGATCCTCTGTGTTATCTAGCATTCATATGTCACAATTAAAGTGAGGAAAGAGAAATTAAAATTATTGAAGAAGGAGGAGAATAGCCTCTTTACCTTTGAGTTGAACCTTTCTCTCCTTTCCTGACACAGTGTCATTTCAGTCAGGTGCATGCCTATTGCCCTTTTAAATTTCTTCACCCACTCCCTTCATGGTGACTGCCTTAGGAAAACACTCAAATCTTTCTTCTCATGATGGCCGTACAAAAGAAGGGGAAATATAAAAATAAAACAGAATATCCAATTCTGAAATTGCTATTGTCATCAACAAAAGTACTTCTGCACAGCCTATGCTGTATAATCTATGACCTGGGCTTGCTGCTTCCCCACGCACACAAATTGGTTTTCACAGAGAACTGGAAATGTACAAATTCCATCAAGGACCAAGCCAAGATGTGCCCAGAACAACACAATGTGTATACCTTTATTTAGCCAAGGATCTAGTCAGGGTTGCTACGTATCTCTAACAACTACTTCATACAAAAATATATAAGGCAGAGAGATACAACATCACTCTTTCCATGCTGGGAATCTATTTGGCCAATACAAATGGTGGAATTCATTTTAATTCATTTTTGAAGACTTTACACTGAGCCTCGTGGCACAGTGGTTAAACCACTGTACTGAAGCCAAAACTGTGCTCACAACCTGAGGTTCAATCCCAGGTAGCCGGCTCAAGGTTGACTCAGCCTTCTATCCTTCCAAGGTCAATAAAATGAGTACCCAGCTCGCTGGGGGGAGGGCAATGTGTAGCCTGCATACTTAACTTGTAAACCGCCCAGAGAGTGCTTGAAGCACTATGGGGTGGTATATAAGCAGCACGCTTTGGTTTACTAAAATTATCAAATCACATACACCGCATAAGAACATCTGAATTTAAGAGAAAGTGAAAATGACAGATTTCCTCATCCTTGCATCTATCCCATGCCTTCCTCTGCTTGCTTCTTGTAATGATTTTTAGTAAGCAATTCTACTCAAGCACACATGGAATTCTGTGCATGCTGCCCCATTCATTTCAGTGTCAATGAATTGCCCATGAATTTTCTAGGAATACTTTTAACATACCAGTCCATAAAAGGGAGTGGCACAAAGAGATTCGTGGAGCATTAAATCAAAGCCAGTGTAAAATCCCCAGTTCAAAAGATGCCATCCTTCCAAATGAGATAAGTGACTGTTCACAAATCTGTGGATGCAGAAATTATGGGAAGAGCAATCTGGCACCAACCACCAACTTGGTCACTGGCTGTGGGATTCTGGGAGCTGTTATTCAAAAAGGAACTCTGGCCACTAACAAAAAGATCAAAACCTTCTGGGTGGAACTAGTATCTTGCCTCTTCTAGGAACAGCATGTATTATACTGCTGGTATGTGTTACGTTACTTTCCAGGCTCTCTTTTCCATGTAGAGCCTGGAAAGCTATTTCTAAGCAGAATGAGCATGGTGACATGCAGAAGCTGTCTATACGTGAGCAGGGTAGGATGATGTGCTGGGAACCACAGCATCATCCTACCAGTTCTCAGGCTCCATCTGCATGTCATTATACTTAGCATACTTCTGAGTAGATATTCACTGTCAATATTTATATGAGTTCCCCAGAACTTTAGGAATGGAGTATGATATGTAAATATACAGCATTGAGTAATAAAAACAATACAAACAATGATATGGAAAAACTGCAATCCAACACTCTTGGTTAATCACTTCCACCAAGTTCTACCCGTGTCACTCGCGCGAGTCAGGAGGTGAGGCTGAGGAGCCTAATGCCGAGGGAGGCCCGGAAAGAAAAAACAAGAAATCGGGCCTTCTCGGTGATGGCTCCTCGCCTCTGAAATAACCTTCCCCCTGACATTCGCGCGTCTGCCTCGCTGGGTACTTTCAAAAATCAACTAAAAACACTGATGTTTCGACAGGCCTTCCCCTCAGCTAATTCCTGATCTTCCCTTTTCTTCTCTCCTAGTGTTTCCCCCATCCTGTCTAATATTTCTTTCCTTATGTAAAATTGTTTTAATTATATTGTTATATATCTGTTGTAAGCTGCCTAGAGTGGTCCTGTGGGGCTAGATAGGTGGGATATTAATCATCATCATCATCATCATCATCATCATCATCATCATCATCATCATCATCATCATCATCATCATCATCATCATCATCATCATTCCATTAGGAATCTAAGTCCATTAGAAAAGTTATGGACTATATTACAGTTCTATACATTCATGTACAGAAGTCTGTCCCAGGAATTTTATTGTCCTTTAAGGCGATATAGATTCACTGTAAAGGCGGATTCATAGAATGTAATAGAACTTATTTTTGAATAGACAAGTATAAGACTTCATTTGAGTCCTTATCAATATCATACAAATATAAAGGCTTGACCAAATTTTACGCATTCAATTGAAACACTCGTTTTAACAGTTTGCAATATGTTGCAAAGAAGTTCATAATTAAAGAATGGGATCTGGACACAGATAATTTACAAACTAGTATGATGGAGCTATAGAGAAACTGTCATCAAGGCATAATATTTACCTTATTTTGAAAGCTACCACTTTTGTTTTAAAGCTGTTAATATGTTCTTATCTTAACACATCTCGTTGTACTAGTAAAAAAATTGCACTATCAATGTTATTTTTTAAATTATGCCATTGCAACCCCATCTCCCCTCCCCCCCCAATTGTCAGTTCAAATTGACTAGGAATTGTGGTCACCAAGTTTGACATGAGCCATTCTACTCTACGTATCGTAATATCCTTCTCTTGTTTTGTCTACAATCTTAGGTAGACAAAACAGGATAAAGCAAAAAGGATATCACATATGAGTGAAATGACTAATATGAGTTAGGATGGCATTTGAAATAATACAAAGAGCCTCTGGAATACTCAAGTTTAAGAGCCAATATTCAATGAGCTCTATTGAGAAAATGATGTCCATTAATCCCATTATAAATAAGAATTTCTGTGTGTATAAGATGGTTTAACTTCTTTTTGACTATTCATTAGTACTGGTATTTTCCAGTGCATATCAGCTATCAAAGCAGCTTAGTTAAATAACATAGCTTGTGTGACACCCTTTCCCTCTCCTTCCAAACAGTAGCTGAATTTCAGCATAGAATAAAAAGATATTACAATTGTTCACAAAATTCAGTTTATTATGGACCTATATTTTGTTTTAAAGCCCCTGCACACTTATTGTTCCTCTTCTTAGGTCTGATTTTAAATATTTTAATAACCAATAATAACAGTGTTCTTATCACAACATATGGGCTTTAAGTAAGGAAATGTAGACCTCTCTTTGTTTAGAAGTCTGATCATAAAAATAACTTGTAAAAAACCTGCAATTGTGAAAAAACAATAAGTATGCTAAAATAAAGGACATTTAAATAATATATGTTTCTGAGCAAAATGTTCCATGCAAACTTTGATGCTTTGGTTGGTGAGAAGCCATTTAAGTTTCATGAATTTTTAGCCTCAAATATCTCTCAAAAGCATATTAATTGACTAACAGGATAAAAGACTTTAAGTCAGAACAGCAAATGTAGTATCCTGATATTCTTGCATTTATGATCTTCAAATTAAAAGAACGTTTCTAGACCTTAAGACTTGAAAGATAATCAACAATGTGTGTATGTTGAGAGCTCAGAGTCCAGTAAGATAGACAGGAAACCAGATTTCTAGTGATCCAGGAAGATAACTATGATACAGTGCCATGTCTTTTTCCCACTCATCATGACAAATAAATCGCAGAACATGTATGCATAGCAAGGAAGTGGTGGGTGGAGGTATGCTTTGTTTTTTATTTTGTTTTACTATTTTTATAACCTACATGGAATATAGGACTCAGATTTTCTAGTGTAAGGTTTGAGTTTACTTGTCACAGGATTTTTTTAAAAAGTGTCTTGCACTGTCTTTTAAAGAAAACACTTGAAGACAACTTTGGAAACAATCTCAGTGTCACACAAGCTATGTTACTCTATAATAATACAGAGCAGCAGTTCTCTCATGGTGGAGGAGAATCCACAGCATTTTGCAGCATTTTGTTCTACATGGGCTGTCACAGTCCCTGTGTGCTGGGCCCTGGGCCTCATGTTCTTCTTCTCCCCCTCTGCGCACACATCTTGTGGAAGTAAACTGGAGATAATTTCATTTTACTGGTATCATTAAACACACACCAGTGTTTTTGCAAGATGTTGTTCATTCCAGGATGAACGTTCACAAACTGTTCCTTTTGGAAAAGAAGAAATCATAGGTTGACAGTCTCAGCCTTCATAATTACATGATGAGTGATCATATTTGGAAACATCTGCTACTTCTAACCTACTAATTATAACTTTTCAGAGGCTCTATGAACTAAAATTGTTGTACGTGGCACCCAGCCTAGTGTTGTGGCAACATAAAGAAGGCTTTGCCATGGATGAAGCTACCTTTTGAAATCCCACACACACATACATTCTGATTGTGCTACAGAAAATAGTGACATTTCTATGAGAGGAGCATGTTCAAGTTGCAGAGGACCAGACCCTACAAATCAGTGGCCATAAGATGCCACAGTGAGCTTTAACTTCCAGGCACTATTAGTGGGGTATGAAATTGTCCTGTCCGGGAAAAGGACCATGGAAGGGGGGGGGTTGTAAATGTGTCTTTTTGTAGTCTAATTACTATTCTGGAATCCCCTAAAAGATAGGTGACTAAAAAAGCTTGCATGATCATAACCCATTATCAGACATTTTGTGGGCAATGCCACCGGAAGGCTATTTCCTGAGCAGAGTTAGTATGAAAATTTACATGTGGCAGCCCACAAAGAAATGAGCAAACGTTTTATGTTTTTCATGCTTGTAAGAGAATTGAAAAACAGAGGCAGATGATATGGTTGCTCACACTCTATGCACATTGAAAACTTTCAGTGATTTAAAAGTGGGAGATGAGGCCAACCTACAGGAGATCAAACTTTCTTTTATTGCAAAGGTTGGCTACCTCACATTATTCCTATATGGCTTGTACAAAGGGATAATGGGGCAAAGCGTATAGAAAGCTGGAGAATGCATGAAGGATGAGGTCCCCATGACTAGATTCTCAACATACAAAGGATTACCCTTGTTCCCTTGATGGGCAGTGAAAAAAAGAGACAAGGAGAGACAGGAACATGCCCTGGTGGACAAAACAATGCCTATGAAATTTGATGAAGAAGTTTACATTGAATTTGATAATGAGTCTGCACTTTTGTTATGACTCAGCTACATGTATTATCTACACCTACAATACATTGACACTTTGTATTTACAGGTAGGAATGATCATACAGATAAAAATTGATTTTGTGCAGAAGCTGACTTCTAATAAACATTTTGCAAAGTCGTTCACATTGAAATTTGTCTCCTATTAAACACATAAGAACAGAAACAAAGATAATCTGACATTAGAAGAGTAAATTCTCTAGCTGCTGAAATCATCTTCATGCACAGCTTGAGTTTTTGCCAAACTGATCTGGCACATAATTTGCCAAATTAACCTGTTTTCTTGTATCATTGCTCTTCAGAACTAAAGTGCTGGATTCCTTTGAAGCCTAATTTTTTAAATATGAAAGACTGCACTAAATCACATCTCTCCAATACTACAATACTAACATGCGTTCAGCTCCAATCTATAACATCTATTATAGATTGCTCCCACTTACAGAATAAAATGGTTTTCTATATGAAATCTTATGAAAAGCATGCTTCTTGAATTTATCAGCAATAGATCTGACAGAACAAATAAAGGTTGTGAAAAACAGAGAGAGAGAAAAGCACATGACATTAGCATCTATCTACCTCTCTCGCCTCTCTGACATAACACATTGATAAAGCACATATTTTCCTGGCATCTTGAGATAGGGTTGAACTGGAAAAGAATGGTCTGAAATTTTAAAGAGGTGATACCACTCAGTGTAGACATACTGAGACAAATATAGCAAGGAAAGGTTATATATATACTGTGTCTGTGTGTGTGTGTGTGTGTGTGTGTGTGTGTGTGTGTGTGTGTGTGTTTGTTTGTTTGTTTGTTTCTGCCTGCTTGTCTGCCTTGTATATGTTTATTCAGTACAGGCTGTCAAACAATTTTTTAAAACAACAACAACACTAGATACTAAAGAATAAAACATGGCAAGTTCCCACTGAGACCACAAATTAAAATTGATTAAAAGCTGATTACAAAACAACAGCAAGAATCCATAGGAGCAACATATTCAAAGAATGTCTCAGATGTGTGAAAAGTACTCAAAGATTTGCTACAATGGAGTTTTAAGTAATATTTTCAAATCAAGTAGACCTACTGAAGCTTTCCCAGGTAGAATTCCAGATTAAGCATGCTAGCAGTGAAAGCCTTTCCTTTACTTCCGTCACTTTAACATAAGACAGTACAAATGCTTGGAGCAGCCCCCCATCTGACAACCAAAGCATCATACAGGCTGTCTTGTGGGAGCAGTTGTTGCTTCAGATAACCTGGGTTGAAATGAGGCAGACAGATGCCAAAGTCAGAGCTTTACATTACATCAGAAGTTAATTGGGAGCCCGTGTTGGTCTTTCTGCACTGGTGTTATACACGTCTGACAGCAATAGCAGGTGACAACAGCAGCCTGTTGCATAGAACAAAGTTAAGTTTTTGAAAGATCATGTAATGGAAGTCTGTAGAACATGTGGCCCTCCAGACTGTAACTCGAATCAATGCTAGCCTGCATAACCAGTCCAATAACATATGGAAGGCCAGAAGAGGCCCATCTTTGTTACATACTTGGTTTTTACTTTTTATTTTAATTTTTGTTTATATTTTTCCATCTTGAATGATACTAATATTATTGATTTAATTTGCTGTGTTAATTGTTTTTATGATATTTTTATTGTATGACACCCAGAGTAGATGTGGTCTAAATGGGTGGGATATAAATTTAATAAGGGCATGGACCAATGGTATGGCAATTCATGCCAGTTCATTCATTGATCCAACAGGTGACCTGTGATTCCAACCCCTGCCTCCTCCAGCAGGTGCTCACTCAAAGGCAGTGCCCAAAGAAAGCAGGGCAGGGAAGCCAGGGTGATGCTTCTGAGTGGCCACACATCAGAGAAAGCATGGATCAGAACCACAGAACACTTGTTGGATCAACAGACAAACTGGCACCAATTGCTGAACTGGTGGTTCGTGCCCGTCTCTAGTCATGATGCTCGTAGAATTGCTTATTCTTGTAAAAGAAGGATGCAAATTCGGTATGTTACAGAAAATAATTTTCTACTACTTACTTACTAGCACTATTTAAAATTCATTGATTTGTTAAAATCTCTTATACCTTAACTTGCCAAGATTTTTTTGTGTGCGCTGGATCTGAAGAGCTCTCATAGTTTCAAAGAGAACTCCATTTTAGGGCACCTCTAAATATGTCAAACTTCCTTCAAAGAATGCACTTCTATATGGGCTCTCTATTCACATGTTGATAATACACTGTCATGATCATGTGTATATTTCACAATACATTCACGAGTGAGGAACTTGACAAATTATATGTGTGTGCAAATCTTCACACGCAAAGAACTAAGTGCAAATTTCATACAGTTGCTTCTTTGAACATAAAAGCTTTCCCCCAAAAAATTAGTATAAGAGCTAGTACTCTGATAACACAGAAGTATTCATTACAAGTTCCAGGCAAGTACACTGTTTAGAGGTTCTTTGCACCCTACAGCTAGATTGGGAAATAGATTTTTTTTTTTGCATGTCTAAATTAGAAACATGGAAAGTTTGTTTTGGATTTTGAAAGTGTTCCTGCTCAGTTGACAATTCGCAGACATAATTAGCAAGCAAATCTTTACTACCCATAAAAGGGGAAGGACATGCCCATCACAGGAGCAACCTGGAAAAAAAAGTGACATGAGAAAGTAGGTATCATTTTAACAATTCCAAGTGAAAATATAATGGAAAGATTTAAAGCCCCTTTTTTTTAATTAAAAGACTTTGTGATCAATTATTAACCTCAAATTGCTAAGAGTGTGACAATGTCCATATTCATTATAAAGATGTCATTGTATGTCATTGTTTCTGTGTATGTCGAACATTCATTTTATGTCCTGTCCTTTGTTCATTAGATTTCCAAGATGCTGAAACATTTGTTCGGAGCACTAGAAATACATTCCCTCCCTTTAATTCTATAACGCATAGTCCACAGCATTCTCTTGGCAGTAGCAGTACAATGATTATCATCAGAAATGTTACAGAGCACGACAGTAAAAACATGGACAAACTCAATCTTAACCAGAATTTATTTGAAGTGACAGAAAAACCCTGGATTCCCACAACTACCCATCATTCCTCTAGCATCACAAAACAGGTAAGATGCATTTTTAACTGGGACATATTACAGTTCATTTCCAGCTACTTTGAGGACGGTGGTCTTGTATGACCAGAGGTTCATAAATTGTGTCGTATAGAATGTAGCAGTGTTTCTAAACATGGGTTCCTCCTACTAGCAGCAAATGGAAAGTGTTGTAAGGTAACCCATATTCTCATGAATGGATTTTCCATTGTAATAAAACAAATAAACAAAAATGACAAAGTAATGGAAAAGCAAAAGAGGGGTGGAAGAAGGTGTCATCTGAAGCCCCCATAAAATTCAGTAAATGAGGCAGGATGATGATGACCTCTTTTGGAAGTGCTCCATTAAAAGTGAAACTAAGATTTACCAAAAGCTGCATAATAAGGTAGGACAGGTAGATCACAAGAAAATGGAAAGATGCAGGGACACAGAACCCTACTATATGCCTTAAATTTGCCCAAAAATCTCTTAAGAAAATAACATTTCTCAATCGTAAAATGATTCTACCCTGGGCTTCGCTACTGACAATGAATCTGACAAGTAGGATAACATCTATGTTATATTGCACTTGTAACAGAAGCAAAACTGACAAGATGAGCAACATCATAATCAGGAGGAATTAGGAGGTGGTAAAATTACATAGACTGCAATCTTCACAACTGCTATGTTTGCAAAATCACCAAGCAAATGGAATTTTGAAAATAAGTCACCAACAAAAATTTGGAATTTGCAATCTGCAGAACTGTGAAGGAAAGGAAATATTATGTTCTTAAGGCAGGCTTAAGGCACTTTCTCTTCTACAGTCATGGCCACAAATACTAGCACCCTTGTAATTCTGTCAGAAAATGCAACCCTTCTCTCAGAAAATTGTTGCAGTTGCAAATGTTTTGGTACTCACATGTTCATTTCTTTGGTTTGCATTGGAACAACACAAAAAACAGAGAGGAAAAGTCAAATCTGATACAATCCCACACAGAAACCCAAAAATGCACTGGCCAAAATTATTGGCACCCTGTCTAAAATGTAAGAAATAATTTCTTTTCAAGCATTTGATGCTCCTTTAATTTGTATTTAGACACACCTGTCACAAGTAAGAGGTGTGGGCAATATAGTAATCACACTACAGTATATTACTATATTGTTAAGATGGAGAAAAGTTGAGTCAACCTTTGTGTTGTGTGTGACACTGAGTATGGAGAAAAGAATGAAGTGTAAAAAGTTGTCTGTGGATTTGAGAAGAAAAAAGGGGGAAAAACATTGACAATCTCAAGGCTACAAGTCCATCTCCAAAGATCTTAATGTTCCTGTGTCCACTGTGCACAATATCATCAAGAGGTTTACAGCCCATGGCACTGTAGCTAACCTCACTGGACATGGATGGAAGAATAAAATTACTGAAAAATTACAATGAAGGGTTGTTCGAATGGTGGATACAAAACCCAGATGAACTTCCCGACAAATTCAAGCTGATCTGCAGACACAAGGTACAGTACAAGAGTGTCAGTCGCACTATCTGTAACCATATGAATGAAAAGGGATGCTATGGTTGGAGATCAAGGAGGACACCACTGCCAACACAAAGACATAAAAAAGCAAGACTGGAGTATGCCAAAACTTATGTGACAAAACCACAGTCCTTCTGGGAGAACATACTGTGGACAGATGCAACAAAAGTAGAGCTTTTTTGGTAAAGGATATAATGGCACTGTTTATAAAAAAAGAAATGTGGCATTCAAAGAAAAGAACATGGTCCCTACAGTCAAAGGGACAGCCACATGGTCGAGGTTCAAATATGTTTTGGGGTTGCTTTGCTGCTTCTGGCACTGGATGCCTTGACTGTGGGAATGATATCATGAAATCTGATGATTACCAAATAATTTGGGGGCACAACATAATGGCCAGTGTCAGAAAGCTGTGTCTCCACCAGAGGTCATGGGTCTTCCAGCAGGACAATGACCCAAAACACACTTTTAAAAACACTCAGAAATGGTTCCAAACAAAGCTCTGGAGAGTTCTGAAATGTCCAGCAATGAGTCCAGATGTGAATCCCATAGAACACCTGTGGAGAGGTCTCAAAACAGCAGTTGGGAGAAGGCATCCTTCAAATCCTCCTTCAGAGGCAGGTCATCAAACTGGGAAAGCCTGTTCTAGCCTGCACTCATCTAACTCAGTAACAGAAAGTTTGTGGAGTGCCTTTGCATCAGGTTATTGTAGTCTCATTTGCTTCAAAAAAATAGATTGATTGATTGATTGATTGATTGATTGATTGATTGATTGATTGATTGATTGATTGATTGATTGACTGACTGACTGACTGACTGACTGATTGATTTGATTTGTATCCCACCCATCTGGTCTATACGACCACTCTGAGCGGCTTCCAATATAATACAATCAATTAATAAAAACACATAGTGCATAAAATTACATAAATCTACAAATGAAAATGTGAAAACCAAGAAAATAAAATAAAGGCAAATAAAGCTGAAATAAGAAGAGTTGCATTTTCTGACAGAATTGCAAGGGTGCCAATATTTTTGGCCATGACTGTACCTGCAAAGCTCTCCTTCTGTTTGTATAGCAGTGTCTGTCCTGTCTCTCTAAGCTGCAGTGCTAGATAGTAATGCAGCTAGAATTCATATTGCCTGGTTTAGAAATATGCATTTGAGAAGCACATCACTAAATGTTTGCCTTAGAGTAATAGTTCAAGCCTTACAGGCCCAAAAGTTTGCACAGTCTCTGTTTCTGCCTTCCTTCTCCTCAAATTTTCTTTCTGATCTTCCGTCTTCTTTTACTATGTTAGAATGTTAGGCCTCAAAGAGCAGGAAAGCAGGAGAAGGAGACAGACTTTTTACCTTTCCTCTGCTACCTCTGGCAAAGCAGCAGAGAAGGAAGACTCTTGAAGAATGAGAGAAACAGAGATGAGAGGAGAGATAGGTGGTCTAATGGTGAGGGAATTTTGAGGCCCACCACTTCTGATAATATCAATGAACTCTGAATGTATGATGTCGTGGCGTTTGCCCCTAGTTACCCCTAGTTATTTTCCTACCACAGAGCACTTGAAGACAAACCAAACTCCTCTTCACACGCTGCCACCAGTTGGTTACTAAATCAACATACTTTTCTAAAGAAAGATGAAGGTCCATTCATCACTGTCTTTTAAATAAAACAGGTTTATTATTACAGATGTTTCGGTAATAATTCATACGCATCTTCTTCAGGTTTCTAAATCAACAATAACAATCTTCTATTTGATCTTACAGTTACTATACTCTCTTCTGACTAATCACACCCCAGATCTTCCAAATATCTCTCTATCTCTCACTCCACTCTCCTTGACTCTGACTCTCACTCACTCTGCTGTTCACTTTCAGGCACCACCTTGTTATCTCTCTCTCTTGGCTCCGCCTCTCAACAACATTAGTCTACAACATGAATAATGCATTACTATTTAACATAATAAGGGTGAACGCCCACAGGTGTTATTTTCTAAGTTCTAAAAAAATGTAATGATTCTTTTTCCTGAGTGCATTTCTGAGTCTGCAGAACTGAGTAATTCTGTTCACCGTTAGAAATTAAACAGAGTGTTTAGCAGCAAAAGAAACCAAAGAGCCAACACTCCAGCTTTTGTGTGGAATGGGGATGTATCAGTTTGGGGCTAAAATCTCACTAAATAGTAGGTGGAAGAGAGCAGAACGGTCCTAGGACACAAGGTAGCTAAGCCAGAGGCAGCTACACTGCCAGAAAGCTAAGTGGAAAATCTCTCAACCTGGTTGCTCCCCAAAGGTGCTGGTTATTGCAAACAGCATTATAAAGGTGTGGGGTTTTTTTTAATTACAAAATGCAAATCACACCCAGAAGGGGAAACTAGTGCAAGCTCTCATCTACAGTAGAGGCGTGTTCTTGATTGCTCTTTCTCTTTCAAAGAAATAAAAGGGGACAGCATGCTAAGCATTTTTTTGAAGCGTGAATAACTTATCTCAGCATAGCTAAGTAGAGGAGGACAAAATACACGGGCTGTCTCAATATTCCACTGTTCCCAATATGAATAGACTTCTTAACCTGCAGACTTTGATACATTTTAGCTTGCCATTCAGCAACTGATTCTCTACGCTAGCTGAAATGCTCTCCTGAGACTAGCAATACTGTAGAACACTGGCTTCAATGACACAAAAAGTGTAAAACAAAATCTAGAGCAAGGAAGATCCAAGAAGAAAGTCGAAGTAAATCTGTGTGTTCTGTTGACAGAATCGCATGATTGGCAAGGGCTTGGGGGACAGATAGGGATATGGGGTTGCTGATTCTAGACTCCTGGTGATCTAAAGGCCAGCTTTACCCTGGCAGACTTTGGAAGGCCACATCTTCTATCTTCTGGAGAGAGAGAGAAAAAGCACAACCCAAGAGAGATTTACGCCTTGGAAGCCTTTTACAGGTGTTTTCCCCGGGGGGGGGGTGATTTAGGCTAGAAAGGTGTGATCTGGTGTGATTCTGAAACATGAAGTGATGAGAGGGTCCTTTCAAGATGTTTTAAATGCTGTTTCTTGAACTAAAACAGGCCCACCAGGGGACATATTTAAGTGGATATCACCACCACTCTTCCAGTTTCTGAGAGCATGCTAATGCAACAGATAATGTCAACCCATTTTCAAGAAACAATAAGGTTGTGATTTTGTCTTTCCTCCCTTTTTTTAGTGTTTACATTGAACAGCCTTGGTTTGCAAGTGAATCTGCAGCTCATACTTTCAAATCTGTGAGGAAAGCTATGCAAAACACATTTCCTCCTGATAAAAAAGAAAGATGGGAGTGGGGCTGTTAAAAGCAGGAAACCTTGGGAAAAGTTCTGAAATAAGCTGAAGTCTGCTTATAGTGATATGTCCACACACTCACCAAATATACTTCCAGATTTTTCCTATCTTTTTTTTAAAAAAAAAAACTGGCTCAGCAGAAACAGGCAGAATTTGTTGAAAACTTGCATATATATTGTCCCTACTCACAGCTTCATCAGTACAGTGGTG